TCACTTTTGTTTCAGTTTAAGTTTCAAGTTTTACTGAGAAAGAAACAGTGTTTCATATTTCAATTTTTCTTGTATTGGGTTCTCTGTTCTTTTTTTAATCTTTTGTTTTTATTTAATTTTATGGGTTTGGAATTGGGGGTGGTGTTTGTGGAGTTCCCAATACGAGAGAATCTTAGGTAAATGATGAATGTTTCCACATGTTTGGTCTGTTATTATTTTATTGCCTCTATCCCCTAGGAATTTAAAGAAAATTTGATGTTAAATTAGGGTCCGAGTGATTACTTGTTTAATTCCCTTTTAGGGTTTAGAGCAGTATGCTAAAGAGACTCGGAACTATCTCTGTTTCATCCCTAGTGTGATTTTAGGAAGATGTTCATCCTTTATGTATTGGTGGAAAATGAGGCCTTTTTTCATCCTTTGATTTGTTCAAATGAGGTGTTCATCCCTAATGAGATTCTAGGGAGGTGTTCATCCTTAGTAGAATTATAATGAGGTGATTCTCTTTTGAATTAGTGTGCAAATATTAAATATTTGGTTTTGTTATATAAATAAAATATTCAATTTTTGGTAGTTTAATATTTTTTGTGAGCAAATTGAGTCAAGAAGTCACCAAAGTAACTTCTCTTGAATTGGGCAGTTCATGAAAAATATTGAATGTTAGTGTTTGTGTATATTCATGCGAGTATTAGTCGGCCCAAAGGAAGATTAATATTTGGCCGAATTGCATACACACTTGTAATGATAAACATGTGATAATTATAAGGATTTGCTTTGTCGATGATAAATCAATCCAAAGACTGGTTTGTTGTTGGACGTGCTTTATTGTCAATGTTTGATTATTACAACAAGATACCTCTAGCGAGTTAATATTACTGTCCAAAGACTTGATATTGATGGTGCATTGGGTGTCTTGAGATGGGTTAAACCATTATTTGAATATATATTATTTATTTTTTATATAATGTGAGCATAATTAGTTTAATTGGACTCCGAACGAGTAAGTGGTTATATTATTGGTTATGCTTGAAAGATCCAGGGGATATAAATTTTATGATCCCACATTAAAGACAATTTTTGAGACGGGAACTGCTACGTTTTTGAGGATATTGAGTTTGGGGGAAGAATAAAATCGGGAACTTTGTCTTAGAGGAAGAATCGGTAACAATTCCGGAACCGATTCAAACAGTTACTTTTGATAAAGTAAGTTCGGAACCTCCACAATGCATTGTTAATGAACCCCTTACTCAAGATGATTTGGTTGTTCATGAAGAACAAACTCAAGATCCTCAAGAACCTGTGCATCATGAGCCAATAACTTTGCGAGAGATCCACTAGAGAAAGAAGAAGTGCTATTTCGGATGATTACATGGTATTTCTTCGAGGAACATGAAGATAATAATGGTATAATGGAAGATGACCCAGTTAACTTCCGTCAAGCCATGCAAGGTTCTAACTCGAAAAGTGGATTGAAGCAATGAAGGAGAAGTATAAGTCCATGCAAGACAATAAGGTTATTGGGAACTTGTCTCATTACTAGAAGGTATGAAACTCATTTGGCTTCAAGATGAATATTGTTGATGATTGTATGTATCACAAGTTTAAAGGGAGACAAGTTTAGTCTCAATCGAGTGCCCAAAGGGAATTTGGAAATTGAGGAAATGCAAAAGATTCCCTATGCATCGGTTGTAGGGAGTTTGATCTATGCCCAAGTATGTACGCATCCGGACATAGCATATATAGTTGGGGTTCTAGGCAGATATTTAAGCAATCCAGGAATAGACCATTGAAAAGCAACAAAAAAAAGGGTCATAAGATATTTAAAGAGAACAAAAGATTATATGCTCACATATAGGAGGTCGGACCGGTTGGAGATCACTGGGTTTTCGACTCGAGATTTTGTAGGATGTCAAGAATTTGTAACTTGCTATGAGACATCAAATCATGAAATATGGTCGATAAATTTTGTCACGGGGCTGCAAATTGTGAAAGGCATTGAAAGACCATTTAAGTTATATTGTGACAATAAATCAGTCTGTATTGTTAAGGAAAGAGTACAAAGTGGACATGATTTTCATAGAACACTTAAGGACAAACTCCATGATACCAGATCCTCTGACTAAAGGACTTCCGCCCAAGGTCTTTCATGAGCATTTTGCTCACATGGGTGTTTTACGAGTTTGAGGAATTTGTGGTTTAGTGGGAGTTAGTCACTTTCATATATTTTATGTTCTATGTTTAATTTCATATATGTATACATTGTTTTTTTGGACATATTTGGTTATCTATAGATATGCGGTTTTCTTGTTCATTCATTACACTTTGTACATTAAGGTTATTGTATCGATCTCGATAAGTTAAAGTTTGGACCAGTTGAAAATAGACGTGTACGAGATCACCTTCACGTAATTTTTCATGCTACACATTTCATGATGAATCCATGTCATTTGGTTATGTCGGGATGAGTAATCTTGTTGGTTTTAGTTGCGATGATGCAATGAAAAGCTGGTTTGGTTCTATATCCCGATATGATTAATGGACGAGGACTTTTAGAATATGCTAAAGGAATATAATGACAATTTTGAGCTCATAAAGTCTAACACATTTGTAAGGTTGTAAAGACATATATATTTGTGACCGAGTGGGAGATTGTTAGCAAATTTTGGGTCATGTATATATATGATACATATTTAAATGTGTTAGGGTCATTATTTATTAAGCCAAATAATAAAGTGATCTGACTAAATTAAAGTTTTGGCTAAAAGCATATGTCATGAAAATAAAATTGTGTAGAGACCATAGAGCAATTTCTAATTTGATGAGGGGCCAAATTGGAAATACTAAAACTTAAGTAATTAACCTAATTCTGGTTATCTAAAGGGTCATGGTCCCCTTCTGGGAGCACGTACACAGAACGTAAGTTTCATTCCCGTTCTTTTCTTTCTATCCCCATCAAGAGAGAAAACCCAGAGGGAAATACAGGTGTTCTTCAGGTGGAAGACCATAAGATCAATATAGTTCTCTACAAAGACATCATCGTTATGGCTAATTCAGGTACGCTTTCGCATTCAGTTTACAACATGTTTATCAGTATGGGATTATGTTTATGTTTGATTGTTAGAATCAAAATCAGGATTATTATTATTGTTATTGTTTTTCCAACATGATTGAAAATGAGAGTTGATTTGAGATGATAATTTTTTATAACTCTAAGGAAATTTGGTTATAAGAATTTAATGAGACTCTAATGATGTTGTGAATATGTGTTTTGATTATGTATTATTAATATGAAAATTTTAATGAATAATAACATAATTGATTATTTGAAAATGTGATAATCAATCAACTAGTTGTTGACTTTGAACATGTTAAATTTTATGTGTAGTTGAAGAAAGTTGAGGATTTTTCCTAATTGTGGATGTAAAATAAAATTTGGTTTTAAACAAAAAAAATTGGAACAATATGAATATGGACAACTTAAGAATAAAAATTCAAACAATTTTTAATCTGGCCATCTATAATCAAGGTATACAGAAAAATGTTAAATAGTAGTCTTAAATATTCAAATTTAATACAATTTGTGTCAAAGTGGTGAATCTTATTATTTGTGTTGTGTTGATGTGATGTCTTTTGTAAACTATATGTGATTGATTAATATTGTGATTAGTATATGGAAATTTATAAAGTGTTTATGAATTTTTATTTTGTTAAATTACCTATTTATATTTAATATTGTAAAAATAATATATTTGATATGGAAGTATATTTTGTTTTATATAATTTATACTTACATATAGAGGGGATTTTTCATTTCTTTATATTAGTTTTATTTACTTAATTTTTCTACTTTTTAATTCATCCAAATATTTGAAATGGAAATTTTTATTTTTATCTTTTTTTTTTCATTTTCTGTTCATATAAAAAACACATACACATTTTATTTTAATCGAATTCCTCTTTTATTTATATTATTCCAATTTTTTTCTTCCAATTCCTAGACATAAAACTAAAAGTAATCCTTAACATAGATTTTTTTTTCTTCTTCTTCTTTTTTTTCCTTTGAAAGTATTACATACAACAAAAAAAGGTGATTCTTGATGATTTTTCCTCAAAAGTATTATTGCATCTTACCAAAAGAATTTTATTCATTTATTTTAAAACGGCACTTGAATATGGTATACCCACGTAGCAAGAATCATTATTTAATGCGTATATATATTGATTGTCAAACCCACCCAAAAAAACTCGAATGTGGAATAAATATGGCTCGTTGATGTATTTAAAATAACTGAGAAATTCTATATTCACCAACGTTATTTACAACTTTTCAGTAATCATGTTTTGTCTGGTTGAAAAAAAAAAAAAGATTTATCATCTATAAGAATAATTCCACATAATTTAGAATTGTGTCATATTTAACACTTTTCATTTACACATTATATTTTCTATGAAATATAATTGAGTTGGACTTGCAAACAATGGACAACACAAACTTGTGAAGTTGTCCAACAAGAAAGGATTGTGTTGACGTCATGTGTCCTGGAAATTTATAGTTTAAAAAAGGACATTTTGTGGATGAGATAAATCTCATTTTCGTATGTTTTCTTCTCCAATAATGATGCCAAAAAACAAAAAATATAATTTAACACATTGTCGTGTTTGGCAAACTCTTATCACAAGATTCCGTTAACGGGTTATCAACTTCTTAAACTGGGACACGAGGTGGAGTTCTAGATTTTTTTGGACTTTCTGCACATCAGAGCTATTTCTTTTAAATATTAAAATGGATAACGTTTTTGGAAAATTGCATAGATTAAAAGTCGTGATTTTGAATAAGAAAATTGTAATTTTTTTTATTATTCATCGATTTTGGTGATAGGGAACTTAAATAAGCGTTTTTAGTAGGAGATTGTATCCAAAATGGACGGTAGTAGGTATGACTAAAAAGAGTGGAGAATTTTGACAGATTTACGCGTGGTTTGAAGGCGTGAAAGGCATGAAAAATGCATTTGGTTAATTTTTGCGTTGTCTGGGGCGAGAGAGGGGCAAGTTGGGGGTGGTGGAAGAGCAGGGAAGCAAAAGCAATGGAGGTTTGAGAAATCATTTTCAGGAATCTTGATTGATTGGTGGTGGTAGCTTACCATCCAAGCTTTGTAGATTGTAGCGGAGAAGAGACGCCTCTAACAATAATTGAAACTTGTTGAAACGAAATGCCTTGCGTTGAATCCCCCATGCCTCTTTATTCCGCCAATTGGATGCATATTGATTATGAATTTTGCCTTAAAAGCAGATTCTCCTTTATCCTCATATTCCACATTCCCGGCTAATCTCATCTCTGATTCTAATTCCTCTGATTTTTTATCCCTTTTCCAACCCCTACTAATATCAATGCCTCGTTTCCTCTTCCCTTCTCAGATCAAGTTTCTCTCGTGCGTTCCCCTTCTCCCTTCCTCCACCATTTTCTTTTCCTTCTTTCTGTTTTCATTTTTCAGATTCAGTAATCATTTCTTTTCTTAATTCTTCATGCAGGTAAACTGCCTTCGTCGTCAATTCCTTGATCACACAACTCCCGTGTTCTTAATCTCTTTCAGTTAATATGGGCTACTGGAAGGGTGTATGTAACCATTCTCTTTCTCTCTATCTTCTTTTATTATATTTCTTCTCTCTCTCTCTCTTAATTTCTTTCTTTCTTTCTTTTTACTAGCAGGACCAAACCAATCATCAAGGTGGTGATCTAGGTATGCTTTTCACTCCTAATAAACCTCATTAACAACTGTGAATTTCAACAGTTACACCACTCCCTTTTCTCTGCTCAGTCCTCGCCGTATGTGCAGGGAATGAGCTTAAGTGTAAATTATGGCACTCACTAATAACTAACTACTTTCGTTATTAGTTTAGAGTTTCCAATGCGAAGATATTGTATACCTTGTTCTTATCAGAGGTCTTTTTCTCCACAAGTTTTACTTTCCAAAACCTTTCATAATTGCTTTGCTACTTAGTATTATCAACTAACATTAGCTTAACTCCTTTACTGCAATTGAGATGGTGTTTTAATAGTAGGTCTTTTGATGTTCTAATTACTCCTTCTTGGTGCATGTGATCAACTGCAGTTTTGCGTGATGGAAAAGAAATACTACTTCAGGTAAATTTTAATGAGTCTAGAGTGGACTTTTTTGCTTAGTTCCCTATCTATAATTAAAGAATTCGCAAGACAAAATGTGTCGTAAAGATCACGTTAATAACAATGTTTGTGATCCAATACTGCTCTTTATAATTGCAGAGACTTATTATCTTAAAAAAACTAGTACGATTAATTATTATGCAAGCGAATCATACTACAACAAATATAATATCCGTGAAGAACTTCCCACGAATTAGAATTAACATTTAAAAATTATTTGCAGGCGTTTAATTGGGAGTCTCACAAATACAACTGGTGGAATAATTTAGAAACCAAAGTTCCTGACATTGCTAAATCCGGATTTACATCAGTGTGGTTGCCACCACCAACTCACTCATTTTCACCTGAAGGTTAGATAACTTTCGAAGAACTGGTCATAAAATGATGTGGTTTTAACGTGGTGATCTTTTTCTTCCAACTTTCTATAAGACAATATCATAATTTTCTACCTTTCCCTCTCAAACAGGTTACACCCCGCAGAACCTTTACTCTCTTAACAGCAATTATGGTTCTGAGCGTCAGCTAAAAGCTTTACTTCAAAAGATGAAGCAGCATAAAGTCAGAGCAATGGCCGACATAGTTATCAATCATCGTACTGGGACCACTCAAGGACGTGGAGGAATGTATAATCGTTTTGATGGAATTCCATTAGCCTGGGATGAACGTGCAGTGACAGCATGTACTGGGGGACTGGTATTTAATCTAAATATACTTTTGTTGATTTTGATTCCAAGTTGTATGTTGCTCCTATTGTATTCATAACTTGTTTCTTTCAGGGTAATAAAAGCACAGGTGCTGTTTTTCATGGGTTTCCAAACATTGACCACACTCAAGACTTTGTAAGAAAGGATATCATAGGCTGGCTCCGTTGGCTGCGTCATGAAGTAGGCTTTCAAGATTTTCGATTTGATTTTGCAAAAGGGTAAGACATATTTTCTAGCTTTGGAGTATTTGATTTTTTCAGTGTTTTTTCTTCATCGTGTACTCACAGTTTATGCTTATATACATTTGAATTCTGGTACTTACAGGTTTGCAGCAAAATATGTGAAAGAATATATTGAAGGTGCAAAGCCATTGTTCTCTGTCGGAGAGTATTGGGATACTTGCAACTATAAGGGTTCTAGTTTGGACTATAACCAAGGTATATTTATGGTTTGAACTTTAAGTAAAATAATACTCACTTTAGTCTCGAATTTTGTAAAATTTGAGTAGGTCGGTGATTCAAATATAGGAATGGTATGAGACAAAAAAAAGCTCTAAAATCTCTATTCCTTTTCCTTTTAAGAGGGTAATTTTTGTTATCAATATGACAAATTATTGCTGCATATAAATAAATTAAAAGTGGAAAGTCGTACTGATACAATTTTCTGCTGCAATTAGCCATTTCAAGGCATCACTTACTAGTAACTTATATGTCTCTACTGTTTTATGCTGGGAGGCTTACCTAATTGAAATGGAAGTTCAAGTTAGATCTTATACATATTTTAAAACTAGAATAGGGTACAAAACCGTTGAGACAGGTTTTTCATTTTAGTACAAGTGATTATTGACCTGTTTAAGTGTACTCTGATCGGATTAGCTATATGTGAAATGTGGCTTTCAATATTTGTATTCTGCACTTTGTTATCCTATCATTCTTTAGCCTCCTTATTTTCCATTCTCCACAGATAGTCATAGGCAACGAATAATCAATTGGATAGATGGCACTGGACAACTTTCAACCGCATTTGACTTTACAACAAAAGGAATTCTTCAGGTATCCGCCATGAGTTTTAGTTTTGTCAGTGAATGTATATTAATCCATTACCTTCTTTTTAAATTTCCTATTATCAAGTTTACGAAGTATGATAATACATTGGTTATTGAATTCATTTAGTTACATTTCTGATGACAAACAACAAATCATTTTTCATGTTTGTTGATCTTTTTGTAGGAAGCTGTCAAGGGAGAATTTTGGCGCCTGCGTGATGCTCAAGGAAAGCCTCCAGGTGTGATCGGGTGGTGGCCATCAAGATCTGTCACATTCATAGACAATCATGATACAGGCTCAACTCAGGTACACTGAGATACTTCTTGAACAATATTGGGAGATGACTCTTTATTAAGGATTTCATTTTAAGTAGAATAACTAAGTGATCTGTTAAGCCATGAGATTTTTCCACTTAAAAATCTAGTCTTTTGAATTGAGATCTTTTATCGTGTTTAATTCTTAATAATGGGTGTTTTTGTAAAGAGTTATTATGTTAATTAACTGAAAGGTGAGTGAAGTCATCAAAGGAAAAAAATTTTATGTTAAAGTCTTGGCTTGGGAGGTTATTCTTAATTAACAAACAAACTGTCTCCTAGTGTAGCTGAGAAGTCTTCAATAGTTAAACTATAGTGCTTCGCATTTTCAAATATTTCATTTCATTTGACTACATATTTTTTAGATGTAATACTTTCCGCCAAATACTTATCAACTAGAGCCTAAACCTGTACTCTTCACTCTGTGCAGGCTCATTGGCCATTCCCGAAAGACCATATTATGGAGGTACTTTTACTATGTTCATTATTTTTAGCACTCTATTTCTCTATATCTGTTTTTGTCTGTTCTTATACTGCACTTGACTATTGTTCCTCAAGTCATTTTTTCTTTCCCCGTCGTGAGGAAAATTTAGTAAGTTTCGAGCATGTTCTCTTTTCACTTTTATAAAGAATATTCAATGCATGCAATTCTACGGATCATTTCAAAACTACACAACACAAAATAATTATTGAGTCTAGAGACTAAGAATTGTTTGATCTTGCTTAAAAGTAATTGACAGATTTGTCAGAAAGTAAAAACCAGTTTTGAAGAGAGTTGCTGAACTCCATAAACACATGGAAATACCTTCGTATATTTTCTTCTTTTATAGCTTTTTCTATTGTAACTTGCAAATTATATACTTACATAATTGAGATTTATTCCCATATCCAAAATAATTAGGCTTAAACTTTGTTTATGGCAGGGGTATGCATATATCTTAACTCATCCTGGAATACCAACAGTTTTCTATGATCACTTCTATGACTGGGGAAATTCAATTCGGGATCAGATTGTGAAGTTGGTAAGTATGATAAGAAGCTGGTACTAGTAACATAAGCACTTTGTTTTTTGTTTTACCGAGTGACAGTGTAACTAATTTACATTCAAACTGCAGATTGATGTTCGCAAGCGTCATAATATTCAAAGTAGAACACCTATGAGGATTGTGGAGGCCAAACACGACCTTTACTCTGCAATAATTGGAGAGAAAGTGTGCATGAAGATTGGGAGTGGTTCATGGTACCCCTCAGGAAGGGAATGGACATTGTCAACTTCTGGCCACAATTACGCAGTGTGGCATAAGCAGTGATCCTTTGGCATATTCCTTGTACACGTAAAATAGAAGGGAATTAAGTTCTTCTAATATGCTTCTGATTCTCATACATTAAATGAAGCTTTTGGAAGTTCATCCCTTCAAATTACGTATTATGAAGCTACACACACCAACAGCTGCTCTCATTTATATATGTAATAACAAAAATAACAGCTATGTGTATGTCATATATAAATAAATGAATAATCATAAATTTCTATCACTACCTATAATTAGTGTGGTGCTACGAATGGTTTTTATTATTATCACTTGATGTATACAAATTCTCAAAGGATGGTTATGAAGATAATATTTATGAGGAGAAAGTAATTACTATTGAATATATTTAGAATAAATAATTAAAATGCATAATTATATGATATTTTTTAAGAGTTTAATTTTATACATTGTTAATATAACACAACTTTACATTATCAACTCATTATTATATGTTAAGTATCACTTTTACAGGATATTTGGTACAAAAAAATTAGTTAGTTTTCTAAAAATATAAAAATATGAATGTTTATTTCTCATATTATTGGCTTGTTCTTTTAAAATAACATTTATGATTTTTTGAAAAATGATTTTCAGCTATGTTGCTTCATATCATGATTTCTAGTCATAAAAAAGTTTTTGTATGTCAAACGTTAATTTCAATTATTGTAAATCAATAAACTTACTATTGAATGATAGTATAAGAACATTTTACACCATTAGCCGTTATATATAAAATATACTATATTGCATGACCACTTTTAATTTTTTTCTACATTAGTCACTTTTTTTAATTAGTAATTGCAATTATTAATTCAAGTAAAATTTTATGAATTATTTTAAATCCAAGTACTTTTTTTTATAGAACAATTACTTTTAATTATTACAGTTTATAAAATGTACTTTATATATAACTTTTAATTCAAGTAAAATAATAATAATAATAATAATAATAATAATAATTATTATTATTATTATTATTATTATTTCAGTGTGTACATATAACTTTTTCTATCATGTTTTATGGACTAATGAGGTTGACCGATTGAATTGATCTATTTGAACCTTAAATGACAAAGTTCAAGTCTTCATGTAAAGTTATAGTTTATATTTGTTGAATATAGAAGAAATAGAGTTTGGGATTAATCTCCCTTGTGTATAAATCACACATAGGGTAATATATTTATAGTAGAGAGATACAACTAAAAGAGTAACTGAAAGTAACAGAATAAACAGAAGATATTGTTTAATATTGTGGTTAACAATATCTTAACAATATCAAATAATATCTAACACTCCCCCTCAAGCTAGAGCATGTTAGGATCGCGCAGCGGAATGTTCGCGTGGTCGGACAAAAACCAAGAGGGGGGTGAATTGGTTTCTTAACAAAAATTAGGTTTTCAAAATTTTCCCCAAATTTTACTGATTAAAAAACTATGTAAATGTAAATAGAGAAGAGAAGAGAATCTTACACAGGAAATTTATACTGGTTCGGATCAAAAGACCCTACATCCAGTTGCTAATCACTCAAACAGAGGATTAACGTTGTCACTATAATCAAGTTGTTACAAACAAATTACAATTGAAAAGATAAAGATAAGAAAACACATCTCTTGAAATCCACAAGAGATGAAGAACAGCTTTCCCTAGAGACGGCACATCACACAATCCACTAAGAACTCCACTTAGTGATTCTTATCGCTTCTAGCCCACACCAGGTTCCAAAAGCCCATTTTTCTTGCAACAAACAGTTATCTGACACTCACAACACTTAACTTTTGTATGAAAAAGGTTGTTCTACTTTTCTGAGTGCCATAGAGAAACTTAAGTAGAGAAATTAGGGTTTGGAAATTGGGAATTTCAGAATTAGGGTTGATTTGAAGTTAAAAATCAAAATCTGACTGAAATAATCGATTAAATGAAGTATTAATCGATTATTACGAGCCAAAATCAACAGAACCCCAAAACACACTTGTTTTAATCGATTAAAAGGTCATTAATCGATTAACGGCACTGTTAATCGATTAACAGGTGGTTTAATCGATTAAACCGAGTGAGCAGATCTGAAAAATGGTTTTTCTCACTGTTTTAATCGATTAAAGCGAGCCTGGATGATAAATTTGAGCTTTTTGAAGCTTCTAAGGTGCGAGACTATGTACCGAGCTATCTTAAACTCTAATATTACAGACTCAATCTAATTGAAACAGAGTTATTACAATACAAAACAAGTCTTCAACACTCTAAGTCTTTGAGTTCTTGAATCATCATCAAAATCAACAATCTTCATGTCCATCAAGTGCAACATCAAGTCCTTGAATGTTCAACAATCTCCCCATTTTTGATGATGATCAAAATTATCTTTTTAAAGCCTTGTAATAACCTGTTTTATCTGTCATACTAACAAACACATTAAACATACCAGATAATATTTAAAAAACAATCATATTAGGCTTTAAATATTTTCTCCCCCTATTTTGATTAGAATAAAAAAAAATTCATCTATGACAAACATAAGAGCTCCCCCTCAAAATATGCATAATTTAGAGAAAACTCCCCCTCAATCAAAGCAATAACAAAACATCACATTTTATTACAAAGAAAAGCATTCATTACAATATAAGAAATAACAACAAATTTAAAATTTTTCACTATCATCACTATGAAAGTGTGCATCAAATCTATTTTCTAAACGGCACACTTTATCATCTACATCAGATATACGGCGAATTATTTCCTCATGTCGTACTCCAGAAAGAGTGAAGAAAGACTGTATTCTCTGATTCATGTCAGATAGCATGTCTTCCATGGATTGTTGAGTTTCATGTTGAGTAGAGGAAGTTCCAACATTTTGGATTTGCTCTGAGGAAAACTCAGCAGCAGGAGGCATATCTTCATCAGAATCTTCATTGTCATCACCTTGATTCGGAACGTCATCCTTGTGAACATAAATGTCGTTGACACGCACCATTTGTAGTTGGATCAATGTGCTGTCAAGCATGCGATTCAAGTTATTTGTTCTTACTGTTTGTTCACCTTCGACATTGACTCCTTTGTATTCAAGAATCCGAGAGACAAGGAGAGCATATGGAATTTTGAAGGTGGGATGACGTTTGGCTTTTAACATAGTCATGGTGACAAGAACACCCCAATCGAAGGGCTCATTATTCATTATGGCATGAATAATCCTAAGATCAATTGAAGAACATTAAGCATGATTTGTAGCCCGGGGACAGAGGATCCAAACAATTAGATGTAAAATCATGCGTTCCTCCTTCTTCATAGGTCCAACAAGAAGAAGATGCCCAATCTCCATGGAGGGATTACGCAAAAAAGAACGGTAAGCTAAGAACCTGTCAAAATCGTCTAACTCACCATAAATGTTAATAACATCTTCTTTAATTGGAAAGTGGGCAACGTTCTCCCAAATATCATCGTCAAGAATAATTGTGACGCCTTTTACTCTAGAGGTAGCAATTTGATCTCTAAATTTAAATCTAGAGTAAAATACCCTAACAAGGTCAGGATAATACGTACCTTGCATTTGGATGAAGGGAAGAACTCCTTGAATTTCAAGAAGGTTGGGAAAATTGAATCCCCTATTGATGAATTGCTCACCAATAAGAAACTTAGGAGAAATAATAGCACGTTCCTTCCAGTAGGTCAGAAATTCTTGTTGGTCATCTGTATCAGAAATCCATCCTTCTACAGAATTAGGACGGGGACGAGATGAGGGTGTAGATCTTCTTCTAGCAGGGATCTTAGCACGAGAAGATGAGGCCATTGAAAGATTAGAGGAATAACAAGAAGATTTAGAAAGCTAAGTGTAGTGAGAAGAGGGCAATTTAGCTAGAATAAGGTAAGAAAACTTGATTTCAAGAGATAGAAGTGAGTAGAAGTGATATGGAGACCCCTATTTATAATCAAGCATGTCCAACGATCATATGGAAGTGAATATAGGTCAAGAGATCCGTTGGCAACGGCTAGGAAGCCAAACTTGCCAGGTTTAATCGATTAAAACTCAGATTAATCGATTAAACCAGTGCCAGAACTATTTAATCGATTAAATGGAGCAGATAATCGATTAATTCTGTATTTAATCAATTAATTATCGAATTAGTCGATTAATCCAGAGAGGAATGCCCTGTTTTGAGTGTTTTGGATGCAAATAATCGATTATAACTCCAATTAATCGATTATTCCAGAGAGTACATCATATTTTTGAGGTTTTAACACATGATAAACTATGAACATCTTGTATAATGAGTTTTAACATTACAATCATCCAAAAACTGTCTCAATAAGCAGAATTTAAGCTATTTCTAATATCCTCAAGTCTCTTCTAAGATCATAAAATCTATCTTTGGGTAGAGGCTTAGTAAAAATATCTGCTAATTGATGCTTTGTATCAACGTATTCTATTTTACAGTTCCCTTTGCTGATATGATCTCTCAAAAAGTGATGCCTAATTTCTATGTGCTTAGTCCTAGAGTTCATTACTGGATTCTTAGTAAGATTAATTGCACTCGTATTATCACACATCAAAGGTATGTCATTTAAAAATATACTATAATCTTCTAACTGTTGTTTCATCCACAGAATTTGAGCACAACAACTACCAGCTGCAATATATTCAGCTTCAGTGGTAGATAAAGCAACACAAGCTTGTTTCTTAGAATGCCACGATACTAAGGATGAACCTAACAAATGACATGTCCCACTAGTACTTTTCCTATCAATTTTGCATCCACCATAATCAACATCAGAATATCCTATTAAACTAGTACAAGCATCAGAAGGATACCATAAACCAAAACCAGTAGTTCCTTTTAAATATTTTAAGATATGTTTTACTGCAATTAGGTGAGATTCTTTTGGACAAGCCTGAAATCTAGCACACACACAGACAAAATGCATAATATCAGGTCTACTTGCAGTTAAGTATAACAGTGAACCTATCATACCTCTATACATAGATTGATTAACTTCCAAACCTGATTCAT